AGATCAACTTCGTCGGGCGTCATGTTAAAAATCGCTTACTATAACTTCATGTTTATAGTTGTTATAAACTTACTCAGGTGACTGACTATCTTTCCACACAGAACACCAAGACCGCTTCTAACGTATATAAAGTCGCAACAAAATTCCCTGTACGTTTCATGATTCCCACTGTGTAAAAGTAGCCAAAGATTCAGACTCTGATAAGAAATACTGATCCTCCTTCAGCGCAGGTTTTAACATTCGCCATGACTTACACAAACTGTTGCTACTAGGAAATGCATTCTGCTTCCTATTCGACTGTCAGTGAAGGCAGGGAAGCCAACGCTACTGCAGCTGTCTGAAATGACCACGCCTTACCAGCCGTGGTGGCAGGAAAAAAAACACAACTACGACTGAACTTTGAGTTCTCCACGATTAACGACCACAGTACTTACTTCAAGGCTTTGACATCCTATTGATGACGGTTACAAGCTGACGTCAATACCAACCCTTTGTATGCAGGAAGTCAGCCACACGGACAAACATCCACCCAAATGCTGGGACAGACAATAGACACGCGCGCCGGGACATACAACCCTTCGGACTCCAACTACATTCTGTGGTTACTCTAATAGGATAGTGAGTCCCGTAAGAGCTTTCTGTCAACAGCACAATAACAATTGCCACGTGTAAGTTACTCTGGACAGGCGTTAAATGTGCTGTGGTAAACATTCCAAATGAGGAGCTTGTTCTTTTTTTATCGCTTTAAGTATTAGTTAAAATGTAGTATATGACGCTAGGGTGGTCAGACCAGCTGTTTCCTATTCTATTAGGCTTCAAGAATAGACAACTAAAACCCTTTCAATTTAAAGATTCCACTCAGAAACTTCCTTGTTAACTCTTCCGGGTTACAAATCAACCAATGACACAGACAACCTTACACAATGCTCGAGTCAGATTGACACAAGGCTTAGAAGTGTAGCAGTTAAACGATGATTAGTAAAAATAATACAACAGGAACTGGAAAGTTTCATTTTAACAATAAATATAAGTTATTTTTCCTGACTGTTAGGTTTGTTTGTTTTTGAATTTCGCGCAAAGTTACACGAGGGCTATCTGCGCTAGCCGTCCCTAATTTAGCAGTGTAAGGCTAGAGGGAAGGCAGCTAGTCATCACCACCCACCGCCAACTCTTGGGCTACTCTTTTACCAACGAATAGTGGGATTGACTGTCACATTATAACGCCCCCACGGATGAAAGGGCGAGCATGTTTTGGTGGAACGGGGACTCGAACCCGTGACTCGAAGATTGCGAGTCGAGCGCCCTAACCACCTGGCCATGCCGGCCTGGCCACTTCTGTATATCATCAGTTATGACTTCTGTATATCATCAGTTATAACATGCTGCCATCTAGAATAAATTAAATGTTGAAGTGACCCCATGCATAAATACACTTGCGGGCATGTGCAATAATGAACGATTAAAGCGAGACTTCAGTTTTTAGTTTTTATACAACTTTGAACTGAGGTAAGCTCTTTAAATTTTTAAGGTTACAAAATAAATATTTCATAGAATTTCACATTGTCGATTTCAAACAATGATGGGTTATAGGCATAGAAATATACCATCAAAGAAACATAGTTCAAATTCATTGTTTTTTATAACGTGTGATTGCTTTACATGTACCATCTAACCCCTCACTTGTACCCCGTTCATTTGCACTATTGTTCTATATAGTGCGCAACGTGCGCACGACATACGGCCTTCCAGGTCCTTGTTAGAAGCGTTTAAATGATTATTTAAGTGATTTAAATGCGGTTGCTAATTGCACAATTTATTTTAAATTGCAGTTGCTTGAAGGTTCGTTTCATCCATCATTATGGGCAAAACGACCCTCAGTCACGTAAAGTGTTTTAACTAGAAATGACATTTATAATAAGTAAGGGTTTGATTTAAAACCTTTTGATTCTTCATGATGTTCTTAATTGATGAAAATAGCATTCAAAGTTAAAATGGCCATCTTACCTTACCTTCCCTTACTAGACGTAAATTATACCAATAACACTTAATATACAACATTAAGTTTTACTAAACTGAAACTGATATGATAATTTTTAGGATACAACGTTCAGCCTTGCTGAAATTAGCGCAGAATCACAAGATTTTAGGTACAATGTATAGTCTTACTAGAATTAAAGTGGAAAAATTAAGTGTTACGCTCAGTATTATTCGACTTTTACTGATGTGATTATTTTGAAATAATTATCTTCATTTTCAAAACTTATATAGATGTGATAACATTTAAATCGAAACTTAACGAATTTGTCATTGGTGTTTTTATAACTATTTTTAATATGGTAATGTCTTTTATAGTATGTTTTGTCTATTAGCTGTCTGTCAGATTTATTAATAAATTATTTCTGAGCGGTAATGCTAATTGTCCTCTGAATATTAAGTGTGTAATATTCCTAGCGGCAAGAAAATACATTAAATCACTATTCTCGTGAAATAATGTTTGTAATAATATGGAAAGTCTTCAGCAGATTTTTAAAAATAAATTATAAAATCAGTTGTTACTTGGTTTTATACATAAATTGCATTGATGTCTGTTCTTGTTGACATTTTATAGTTTCATGGAGAAATGTAGGCTTTCAATGTGATTTTTATGAGAGATTTACGTTTAGAAATATTCATATACGACACAAAGTTTTTGCCAGTTACAAAGAAGCACGAGAATTTTTTAAAGTGTATAGTTTTCAACACAAAGCAAACAGTGTTCGTGTCTTAATATTCAGCAACTATTATAGTGCTGCTATCGTTTACTAAATTCCTTGCGATAGACGGAGCGCAGATAGACATTTCAGTAACTTTGCGTTAAAACCACATTTTCTAGATCTGTAAAGTGTGCATATTGTAAGTTTGCACCTTTTATGACAATTAGAACATCAAACTTTAAATCTGTTTTGAAACGAAAACGAATAAGAACATGCCAGGAGTTATAACGTACTTATATTTAAAAATTAAGTACTTCTTGCTCAAAATCTCAAAAGGCACTTTCTCTGAGAACTGGAAGTAATGCACACCCTTGAAAATAACCTACAACTTTCTTAGTGCACTAGCCTTATGGTACGTATTTGTAAAATGATTGAAACTGTGTCCAACGTATATGCCCCCCAGTGGCACAGCGGTATGTCTGCGGACTTACAACGTTAAAAACCGAGTTTCGATACCCGTGGTGGGCAGAGCACAGATAGCCTATTGTATAGCTTTGTGCTTAACTTCAAACAAACGTATATCGGCATGTGTTTTATCATTCTAATCGTTATACGTTCTCTCAAGTTTAACAGTTCGCCTTTAACCAACACATTTTAAAACAGAGAGGACTATTTTACCTTATTCAGTTGGGAAAACTCACGGGTAAACATTTGAATATCATTTGCGTTTGGTTACGGATTATACGTCCGATGCAGTTTGACATTTTAGGTTTCTCACACGAAGATTATCACAATCGCAAGCTTCTGTGTGTGGAGAGCGATACCTACGTCCCAATAATATAGGCCCTGACAATATTTATAAAATTCACACGTTTTTTAATACAGGCCCTGACAATATTTATAAAATTTACACGGTTTTCAAAAATTATATCTTATTCCTGATTTTTTTTTCTGGATTAGACGTTCGAACAGTTCTTGCAGTTGCTAACAGAGTTTATACATTGATTTAGCACGTATACGAGAGAAACTTTAGAAAATATATTACAAATTCATTATACGTTTGTACAAGTTTATGTACATACAACAGGTACTGTGGTAGATAAACTGCTACAATTTCATTAAAAGTTTTTACATTCGCTTTCTAATAATATTCCTAAATCAATAAGGTAATTCTACACTTAGAATGACGTTGAATTCCTTTAAAGAATTTCATGACAATTAATTTTAGTAAGTATCGTAATGTACAGTTGATAAACATTTAATTCAGTGACCCAGATTAAAATCACGTGAAACGTTATAAAAACAAGTAATAACTAACCAATGTGCATAGTGTAAATTGAACAGTAGTTTTTTTTTATCGAAATCAACTATTTATCAATAACTTTGAACGCTAACAGTTTAGTTTGGTTTGTAAGTAACAAGTTAAAGGATCTTTGGCTCGTCATTATCACTCTCTCACTGGAATTTGCAATCTTCTCATAAAACATGTCTATTGCACTCGGTGTTTCTGCACAGATTTTTAGAGGTAAATAAATTTTATGTGATTATAACTTTATATTTTTAAACGTCTACAAGACAAGCTACTTTGTCGAATGACGACCAAGACGCATATTTGTTGACAATCATAATAAGGTAAAAACTGGTGTTGCTGGTTCCATCTATAGTGAAACAGAACTAATATTACTGTGTGCAGTCAGAGTAAAAGACGCTACTCGGTGTAACCACAGTAAAACAGTAGGACCAGATGTTCCATATGCTCGCTAAAGCTAGCAACCCTGGCTACTTACATATTACTTGTCTTGCTTCCACCGCTGCTCGTACAAGAATTAATCAGGTTTCTATAGTGAGCTACTGTGCCGGCTTCCCTGGTTCTCTGCGTGTGTCTACTCACCACGTTCTCCCGTGAAACAGTGACAGTCAATGCGACACTGCATAGAAAGTTGCAATATCGGCAAGTGACGTCAAGCATGAACTGAGTGGGCGCCTGACCCCCACCTACACAACTTGTTAGCTCTCAGTCAGTACGCAGTAGTAACAATGAACTAACTTAGCGAACGGTGTTGATAGAGGAATCCTGTAATAAAACAATCCGAAACAATAGCACGAAAAAGCAGTCTTAAAAGCCAAAAGCAAAGCAAGAACTTTGAACTATACTACATACATTCGGCAAGTTATTCTACCCACGACTCATCAGAACGCACACGCCTGTCAGTTATAGCAGCGGTTTCACTGATCTCGATAGTTCTGACTATAAAAAGAAACCTACTCATCACTTTTTAAAGTAAAACTAGTGCGACGATGAATTCATTTCATCAACTATATTGTTCAATCACACAAAAACTATTACGTTACAATACAAAATTCAAAGCTTATCTTATCACACAATATTACTATATTTCCGCTCACAGTCTATTAACACAAAGTATGAGTAAAGAAAAATAGAGAGAAGGTTTCTTGGATTACAAAGAAAATCGTTTACTTTTCCCAAAGAACAAAAAACAGTTGTTGAGATCGGGATAGACGTGTAATATATAAACATTTGGAGAGATGGCAATGCTTTTGAAAAATATCTATGGTTCATGATGATTTTCCAACGTGAATATTTTTACTAATCTTTTGTGCTAGAGAGTCAATCTATATAGAACTTGCATGCTTATCGACAGATAATTTTTACTTCTCCTGAGTATTGAAATCCCTTACATATATCAAATAAGGATATTTACGTGTCAGTAATTTTACGAACACTAATCAGCAGGTTTGATATATATTTCAGGAAACATCTCTCCTCCACGCCTATTAAGCTCATTTTACATGTCATTCTTTTGAATCAAAATGTTACCGCTTGAGAAGGAGGCGTGTGACTGACGTATTAAATTTTAGTTACAACTACCAGATACTTATTTCAAGCATTCATCATGTAGAGGGCGCACTATCCTTTCGTCTACTCCGGTTTATGATTTTGGCTCCGTTGTGTTTTATTGTTTTATCATTTCTGTTTATGTCCTTGCGTGATGAAAAAATATGCTGATCCCCTTCCTGTGCACAACAAAACAAAAACTTGAAAATAATGTAATATTTTCATGAAAAAATAAAACCTGTTTCAATATAAATATTTTTACAGCTCAGAGAAGTAGCATTCGTCGGGATGAATATATTTGTCACTGTTTTAACCATAGAATGATTAGTTCGAATAGAAAAGGTAATTACATTTTATGCTTACTAACTATAATTATAAAACCCCTACAGTTTCTGTAAAGTTTACATGCTTTTTGTAAGGCTATTTATAACAACGTCTTGTAGTATTTTAAACGCACATTTCGAATGGTTTTCTTATATTTGTTCTCAGAAATTTTTAAAATGTTTTCTTTTAAAGTTAAATTACCATTTTTTTTAAATATGCATTCTATAAAATTAATTCAATGTAAATTTGTAGTATATAAGTATAAAGTTTATTTGATAACATAAGTTCTTAAAGTTTTGTTGATATTTCTTAAATACGGTGTTTATGTAAGAAAAAGTGTAATTGAGTTTTTTTTATATATGGAATTTTACCACAGGTCATAAAGTCTTCACAATTAACGCAAAAAGTACTAGTTTCAGAGAATAGATTCATGTTTCGAAAATAAATTAAAAAATTAAATGGAATTAAACCTGAAATATAGTACAGTTTAAAAGAGGTTATTTGATTTATAGATTTCTAAGTGATTTTATGTACTTATGAATTTAAGTCGAACAAAAAATAAATTGATAAATTTGAAGGTATCTTTGATTTCGAAATGTTTGATTCAGCTTTTACTGAGTAACTGGAAATAAAACAAGTTAATTTTGTAACCTACGTATAGAAAACTTCTCAAATAATTAATGTTAGAGTATCCAAGGAAAACTCTTCTAATTAATCTATGAACTGTTCCTAATCATGTCCATCGTTCGTTTATTACACGTAGTCTAGATACTTTTTACAGCACACAAATCATTGATCTGTTTCTGCTTTAATAAAATTTCAGCCACTTTATCCTTCGTTGAAGACTATCTTGGATTTATCTTATCAGATCCTCTTTCCTATACAAATATTTTTGTATTTACCAAGGAATAAATCAATGGAATCTGAAGTGACATTAGATAAATTCAGAGTAACTAATAGATTCTTGTTCCATTATTACAAACTATTGGATTTTTAACTTACTTGTACAAAACTTAACTTAAACAAAAGAAACTTGTATGAAACGCAGTTAAATTATTCATTTCATAATTTCATAGTCACCGATACTGTGTTTATAAATATATGTATCTTAGTTTGTAGACGTCTATTATGGAGTATCAAAAGGTTTAACAACATAAGCATTTTTACAGGGGCTCAGTACTTGTCTATCTCAAATATAAACAAGAAACGTGTTTAAAACACCCACACGTCTTCATGTGGAAACCACTGCTATAACGTTTTTCACATATCAGCTCCTATATACCTTTGGTGTATTTTAATCGATAAACTGCTCATTTTTAAATGTGAAACAGTTGACAGACAGAGAAAGATACCGAGGTTTCAAAACCTGGAATTTAGTTTGTGAATGTGTATAAGTTTAAATATTAAAATCCACAGACGAACAACGTTTTATGATGCACAATTAAAATCTTTATTTAAGACGGTTGTAAATATCACACTACGTGTTTCAGCGTGGTTTCGCGTCATCTTCAGGTTTTTAAACTGATCGACGGTTGTAAATATCACACTACGTGTTTCAGCGTGGTTTCACGTCATCTTCAGGTTTTTAAACTGATCGACGGTTGTAAATATCACATTACGTATTTCAGCGTGGTTTCACGTCATCTTCAGGTTTTTAAACTGATCGACGGTTGTAAATATCACACTACGTATTTCAGCGTGGTTTCACGTCATCTTCAGGTTTTTAAACTGATCGACGGTTGTAAATATCACACTACGTGTTTCAGCGTGGTTTCACGTCATCTTCAGGTTTTTAAACTGATCGACGGTTGTAAATATCACACTACGTGTTTCAGCGTGGTTTCACGTCATCTTCAGGTTTTTAAACTGATCAACGGTTGTAAATATTACACTACGTGTTTCAGCGTGGTTTCACGTCATCTTCAGGTTTAAATAAAGATCTTAATTGTGTATTTTTATAACGTTATTCGTTTGTGGATTTTGATATTTCAAATATATACACAAGTTCCTTGAATTTTAACCTATAAGTCTGCTTTCTTGCGAGTTTACATATAGTGTAGGAAAAAGGTAAGCAAGTGATTTTTTATAAGTAGTAACTTCATAGTAACAGGATATTAATTTACGCACTTAAAGATTTCTTTAAGAGTTTGTGAAGTGTTCCATAGTTAATGTTACAAGTAAGTAAAACATACGAAGATAGTTGACATTAATAAACAATAAAAAATAATTGTATTTTATTTTGTGTTTTGATTACGCGCTTGAACACTCAGTTTAAAACCAAATTTATGTTTCTGCGATCTAGAGTTGAGACTTAATTTAAAACAGTTCAAATTTATAGCTCCCCAGTAGCACAGCGGTATGTCTGCGGACTTACAACGCTAGAATCCAGGTTTCGATACCCGTGGTGGGCAGAGAACAGATAGCTCATTGTGTAGCTTTGTGCTTAACTTCAAACAAACAAACAATCAAATTTATATATATCTAAATGTTCATAAATAGGGTTTGTTTGTTTGTGTTTAGATTAAAGCCACGTTGTGTTATCTGCTGTGTATACCGTGGGGAACCTAACCCTGGATGTTAGTGTTGCAAGTCCGTAGACTTATCGCTGTCTCGCAGGAGGACTCATAAATACGGGTCGAATTTGAATAAAAATTTTTATTGTTATTAAAAGTTTGGCTTTAAGTTTTATTTATACAAATAAATGGAAATGTGCAGCTTCACCATATTACTTGTGTCCTCCTCGTAACGCTTAAACATGGGGTTCGATTCCTCGTGGTGGATACACCATATATAGCCCGTTGATAGCTTTGCGCTTAACAGCAAATAAAGGATAAAAGCGAGAATTATTGCTTGTAAATTGATATAATTAAGTCGAGCATAAATAAAACAAATAAACTTTAAAACACCAATCCACCGTAATGAGTATTACAGTGTTTTTAAACTGTATAGATATAAGTAAGATCACTTGCAAAATTACGGTATGTGTGGACTGTCAGTTCTCAAAGTTCACTCAATCAAAGATATTGTAAAGTACTAAGCTTTATTGTTTTATACACGTCTAGAAGATATATTTTAGGGTACAGGTGGCTATCAGCCAATCGCCATGTAATGTTAATTAAGCGTTGGGACGTAGTGGGTATGGGTGCCATAATAGTAATCGTATTTTTCTTTCGAAATGATTCGTATCTTACAGTTTGGAAGCTTTCAATATGCAATACACCCATAACTTCCAAGCTATATTTGAAAAGGCCTTCTGTGTATTTTGAAGAAACTTTTGTAGAATACTTGATGGGTTTTAGCGAACGGTTTACTTTATATTTTTCGTCTTTGTGCTTTTATTGCAGTGATAAAGTTAGTGATAGGTCAGAACAGCCCAATCATCAAGTAAAAATAGCATAAACAGTATTAATAAATGTCTTGAGTTAATATGAGGGTCAAGATAAAGCTTATTTGCAGAAGTGTTACGTGAGCGTTAACAACGTTATAAATTTTGCGTAAAGAAGATCATAATTAATTATAGTCTTCGAGATCGACAATCTAAGAGACGTATAAGTTCAAAAATAATTTAGTTATTAAGAACATAATTACATTCAATATCAACTTGAACAAGGGAAATAAAAATACCACAACACTAAAATAGATAAATTAGGCTTATTAAATGCTTGTTTACTTGTTTGTTTGGGATTTTCTAGCAAAGCTCCACAAGGGCTTTCAGCGCAAACTGTTTTTAAAGTTGAACTCGTATATTAAAGGGAAGGCTTTGCTTGTTTGATTGTATTTAAGCACAAAGCTGAACAATGGGTTATCTGTGCAGTGCCCACCAGGGGTATCGAAACCCGGTTTCTAGTGTTGTAATTCTGCAGACATATCGCTGTACCACTGGGGGGCAAAGGGAAGGCAGATAACCAACAGCACCCACTGCCAGCGCTTGGGT